ATCACTAATTTTCTTTACTACTATCAGTACTAACCAGCTGCCTCAGGTCCATTGAGTATGCAGCAAACTGGGTTGCCGAGTTTATCCGATATGCTCGTGATAACAAGATCATCAGCGCTGAAGCAACTGATAAGGGAATGGAGGAATGGACGCAACATGTGCATGAATGCGGAAAGGGTCTATTAGCCAATGAAGTTGACTCATGGATGACCGGTGTCAACAAGAACTTGGCTCATAAGCAGAAGAGGTCCATGACGAGATATAATGGTCCTGCACCCGGGTATCGAAAGAGATGTGATGAGGTCAAGGGGAGGGATTATTCAGACTTTGTGTTGAGATACGCTTGAGGTTAGAGCATGTTAGAATTTAAATGTTATTATGATATGATAATCTGTGATAAAATTAGGTCTGAGAGGTGTTATACAGTCTAGTTGCTTAAAAGGTTTCACCTTGAGTTTGATGATAAGCAGATACCATGTGGAACCCTTCCTAGGTTTGGAAAACTTATGATACTTGAGAATATTTTAGAATATTTTAGAAGATCTTACGATAGGTTTAGGGAGATATTTGAATACCTTCTATTGTTTATGTCATCTATCCGATTCAGATTCCAAAACTCAAGGTTATCAGACATGAGATAGTTAAGCGGTTTTGACTTCAAATTGTCTAGCCTCAGGGCTCGAGAGGGCCCAAATAATCCCCTGCTCCATAACTCTATCCCATCTCTTAGACTCACTCAATTGGTCTCCATACCTACGAAAGCCATGAGGTAACCCTTTGAAGATGTGAATATCGGTTGGGACTCTGCTTTGATGTCAATTTCAATGGTAAGAAAAAAGCAGCGACTGCTGACTTACCCTGCCTCAGCAAGCTTCTTCCCGTATAAGAGGCCCTCATCCCGCAGAGGATCTGCACCAGCGATTCCGAAGACAGTAGGAGGAAGCCCCTTCACCTGAGAAACCGATGCGTTTCCAGTGTTTGCTCGAAAATCATCAGCATCTGGAAAAGGAACCGGAAACTTAAGCATTCCAGTAAAAAAGTCAATGACCTTCTTGGGAAGGATAGGTGCATCTTCATTCTGGACATATGAAGAGACCAAGGGATTAGTGAGTTGGTCAAGTTGAGACTGATAATGGTCGAGGTGGACTAAAGCTGGGATCATCAGGATCTGTCCGGCAATCTTGGGATATTGGCGGACATCTGGTGCAGAGATATTCTGTCTCAAAGTCAAGGCCGCGGCTAACTGAGCGCCAGCGCTAATGCCTCCAATGACAACCTGGTCAGATTTGCCTTGAAGCTCATCGATATGGTCGTGCACCCAGTAGAAAGCATCTTCGACGTCATTCCAAGCTGTTGGAAAGGTATGATCCGGTGTGTGACGGTAGTTCACATTAACAACCGTAACCTTTGCCCCAATTGCGACTCTCGAAGAGATAGCATCTTCGGAGGAGAGAGTACCGAACAGATATCCTCCACCATGGAGGTGGATGTAAATCGGCAGCTGAGCATCATCGGCAGCATCGACAGGCCTATAGCTTCGTGCTTCTATGAAAGAGTTGTCTCTCGTAGGAATCTTGTAGTCTTTCATGCGGACCAAGTGACCCAGCTCCTTCATGCCATTCGCAGATATCTCCTCACGGCCTTTGTTGACTACGGCCTGTCTCTCATAGATATCCGCGAAGGTTGGGGGAGGCGGGAGACTTGCCTCTACCGCAAGCCACTCAGCAGATTTGGGGCCATATTCCGAAAAGTCGCACATGATGAAAGCTTCGACAGTGATTGAACAGATAACTTACGATATTGATTGATCTCAATTGTTTACTCGCCTCAACAAAACACATGCTTGAGGGGTATCAAAGCCTCAGAGCACGTAATTGGCCGCATCCATGTGATTCCGCCCCCGTTCCTGCCGTCGTACCTCGGCGCCCCCACAAAATGAAGTCGAATTAGAGTTGTTAAACTCTGGCAATTCCCGATTAGGAAAGCCGCACGACAGTACCGGAGGCAGGAGTACTCGACATCGACCGCATAATTAAATATTGTGAAATGAGATGATAGATTATATCATTTCATAGTACAAGGCTCATCAGAGATCCAAGAACAAACAGCGCCATGGCCGAGATACCCACTCAACCTCCGTCTCGTTCACTAAAAGACAAAGTCGCCATCGTCACAGGCGCAGGCTGCTTTGGGGATGGTATTGGCAATGGAAGGGCGATATCAATCATGTTGGCCAACGAGGGCTGCAACGTGATATGTCTCGACATGGATTTGGAGTGGGCAACGAAGACAGCCGATATGGCGAACCAAAGTGCAGCTTCCAAAAAGGCAATACCAGCACAAGGAAATGTCACAGACGCAAACGATTGCGAAAATGCTGTTTCTCTTGCACTGAAGGAGTTTGGCCGTTTGGATATTCTCGTCAACAATGTCGGCATAGCAGGTGCCTCTGGGACAGCCATTGACGTGGATATGGCCAAGTGGACGATGGGTCTTGAAGTGAACGTTTCAAGCATGGTTTTGATGGCAAAGTATGCTATACCAGCAATGGCCAAGAACGACGGTGAGATCAAAGGATCTATCGTCAACATGGGGAGTGTAGCTGGCTTGAAGGGCGGTACACCTCATCTCTTGTATCCAACCGCAAAAGGCGCTGTCGTTAATATGACGAGAGCGATGGCCGCTCACCACGCCAAAGACGGCATCAGAGTGAACTGCGTGTGTCCCGGGGTAAGTTGTGAAAATGTGAGAGCATAGGGACTGAGCTAACATTTGCTAGATGCTGTATACTCCGATGATGTACGCAAAAGGCATGTCAGAAGAGGCCAGGGAAGCAAGAAAGGCAAGGAGTTTACTGGGCACCGAGGGTACAGCTTGGGATGCTGCTTGTGCTGTTGTGTTTCTGGCCAGTAATCACGCAAGATGGGTTACGGGAGCTATCTTGCCAGTTGATGCTGGAACAACTGCTGCTGTTGGAACTAGCTTGCCTGCTGGTGCAAGCGTTAATGGTTAATATAGATTACCAACTATCTACATATAGGCTCAACTCCAACTCAATGACGAGACTTTAATGTTCTGTTAGAAGACGACTGCCAAAATGGGTTACCTTATTAACTGTCTAAATATGGCTTGACTATAAATGCCGCTAAACCTTGAGTTTAACAGTGCATGGCGGAGCAAAGTCCAAATTACCCGGTGAACAGCATAGAAATCCTTTCTTGATTATTGCAAATCAATTGAAGTTACAAACAGGGCTATTCATGTAACAACGCTACTCTCGCCTTGATCTTTCCTTCGCCCAATGCCCCAAGAACTTCTTCAAAATCTGGTAGCTTTCTGGTTTCAACTCGTGGACTGATATGACCAGCAGCAATGAGCTGAAGAACCTTTTCCAGATCACGAACTTGACCTCCGTAAGAGAAGATGAAAGAAAGCCTCTTTCTGGTGCCGATCTTCATGTGAATCGTGTTTTCCGTGTCAAGACTGCCGATGCAAAGAAGTTTGCCGCCGCGACGAACTGTAGTAAATATCAGTTAGGAATCTATAAATTTCAAATGAAATCTTCACTTACCGATATGCTGAGCATCTTCAAATGTCTGATGAGTACCAACAAAATCAAGAACGGTGTCGATCTTTCCTTCCAAACCATTCTCTTTGATGAAGTCTTGAGGAGGCTTTCCTACTGGAACTATATCCTTTTCAGGTATGCCTAAAGCTTTGGCTTCTTCAAGTAGTTCTTGTCGAATGTCGGAAACTATCACTCTTGCCCCAATATAACGCACAATCTGGAGAGCGTTGAAACCCAGCCCGCCGAGACCAAACAGAAATACGGTCTCATGTTTTTTGACTTCTCCTCTCCTAGTGATGGCGTGAAAGGCTGTATTTACAGCGTCAGTGGCCACGGCAGCTTCTGCTGGGCTGACGCCTTCTGGAACTTTGACAGCAGCCCGGATATCGACAGCAGTATATGGTGCGTAAAAGCCATCTTGACCAATACCTGAGTGATGGCCTCTTTCACACAGTTGAGCCAAATCGCGGGAACATTCGGGGCAGTCGTCTTGTCCACAGCCTGGCACTGCATGCAGAGCCACGATATCTCCCTTTTTACTGTTCAGCACTGACAAATTTCAAGATTTGAAGAACATCACTCACCACTTTCAATCCGTTGTCTTGAACATTGGTGCCTATTTCAATGATCTGTCCGCAACCTTCGTGGCCTAGGATATACTTTTCCTGGAACCAAGATGCTTGCTTTTCTATCGTAAGGAGAGAATGGTCGCTTCTGCAAACTGAATTATTGGTCAGACTCTAGTTAACTACCAGAGAAGGTGGTTTATACCTCCAGATGCCAGCATCTTACAAAGAATGCCATTTGGGGCTACTTTGGGAACAGGCACTTCTTCAAAAACCTCGAATATGTTAATGCAATACCTTTTGAAGACTGGGAACTGGTATATTACCGGCTTCGGACTTCCTTTGTGTTTCCTCCACGCAAACATGGTTGTTGGCACTCTTTCGGAATTCGTAACAGTCATGGTGAACCTGGTCAATGATTTCGGCGATCAAGTTTTTTTTTTTTTTTTTTCACCGGTGTATAGGCAGCAGTAGTCCAGCCTAAATCATTTCCTATCACTCGGCTTACCGAGAGCTGTGGTCAGCTCGGTTTCCTTTCCTAGACACAGACGCGTCTCGGTAGGATTTTCTACCGAGGTTCTCCGAGGCAACGAGAACCTATGGTTGGCTTCGAAATCCACTTCTATAAATCCGGAGAATGCGGGGGATTGGCCGCTATTACGATGGCAATGCTCTCGGTTTTCCTATAAGAGTGTAGCTCCGCCAAGAACTCCACCACAATTTGTTTTCATGACGTTAGGTTGCTGACTCGCTGGGTTGCCGATGTCCTTCAATAAGAAATTCATTCTGGCTGTCTTGATATCATTCCAACCTATCATAGTTCGAAACGCGTTTGATCGTGCAAAAAACAAGGCCCTCATATCACCATGGTGTTTACTTCTCCTAGCTGGGTGCCGAATCTCCCAATTGGTGAGTCGCGTGCCTCAATTGATGGAACTTCCCATTGCTGACATATTGAAGATCCTCCGGATTCGATACCTATTGCTGAGTTTATGAAGAATGAGGCGTATGGTCGCCGACCCATTGCCAAGAGCAGACATCCCTTTACCTGCGGTATCACTGGTCGCTCATACTCGTCACCTGAATTGTTTGAGCGATCAGAGTCCTTTGCGAGAGCTCTGGCAAAGCGTCTTCAATGGCAGCCGAATGAGGGAACACCTTGGGATAAGGTTTTGGCTATCTTCTCTCTGAACACAGTACGTATGACGATTTGTATGACGATAGCTATCTGATTCTTGGCTCTAGATTGACTTTGTAACTGCCATCTATGGCGTTCACCGACTCAATGGCATAGCCACGCCAGCCAATGCTGCCTACTCCTCTGATGAACTGACTCATCAACTCAAGGCATCGGGGGCCAAGGCTCTTGTTACTTGTACACCTTTACTCGAGGTAGCACTTGAGGCAGCCAAGAACGTCGGCATATCATTTGAAAACATCTACTTGTTTGATATACCACGAGCTGAGCCTGCCTCAAGTTTCAAACATACTTCTGTAGAAGATCTTATCAATGAAGGTTCGAAGCTTCAAGAGCTGGAGAGGCTTCAGTGGGCTCAAGGTCAAGGTGCACGACAGACAGCCTTTTTATGTTTCTCGAGTGGAACATCAGGCTTACCGGTAAGATCATTCACCCCATAGCTATGATACACGCTAATATTACTTAGAAAGCTGTGATGATCTCACATAGAAACGTCATCTCGAATGTGTTACAGCATGTCACTTACGACTCTGTTGCCAGACGGAAGAAAGGTGTAGAGACACAAGCAGTGACTGGGTTTTTGCCCTTCTCTCATATTTACGGTCTTGTTATTGCGGCTCATACTTGCACGTGGCGAGGTGACCAGATTATTGTTCTCCCGAAATTTGAATTCAACGACTTCCTCAAGTCTGTCCAAGAGTTCAAGATCCGGCAGCTGCTGGTGGTTAGTCAATCTGGGACCTCTACACGTATCGCCCCTACTGACAGTCCTCCAAGGTTCCACCGATTATCATTCAAGTCCTACGATTCAAGGATATTTGCGCCAAGTATGACCTGAGCAGTGTTAGGTTTGTTTACTGTGGCGCAGCGCCACTGGGTGAGGAGACAATTTCGGATATGAAGAAGCTATACCCGGATTGGACAATTGCTCAAGCCTATGGTGAGTCTATCTACCATAAATCTCTAAGGAATATGACTGACAACAGCAAGGCATGACGGAAACTTCAACTGTCGTCACTTCCTCAAGTGAAGACGATGTCTTCACAAGAGGCTCTGGATCCTTGCTGCCGGGTGCTAAAGCCAAGATCATTGACCTTGAGGGCAACGAGGTCACTGAGTATGACAAGCCAGGCGAGCTCCTTGTTCAAGCCCCGTCAGTTGTGCTTGGCTATTTGAACAACGAGAAAGCTACCTCTGAGACGTTTGTGCATCACGAAGACGGAAGATACATCCGCACTGGAGACGAAGCTATTGTGACTTTAGCTCCATCTGGTCATGAGCATATTGTGATTGTTGACAGAATTAAGGAATTAATCAAGGTCAAGGTACGTGAACCGCTTCCTGAGCGGTGAAGCCAACACTGACAATTTGAAGGGCCATCAGGTTGCACCCGCGGAACTCGAGGCTCATATTCTGACGAGCCCTCACGTCTTTGACTGTGCTGTGATCCAAGTACCTGATGAGAGGTCAGGAGAGGTACCAAAGGCTTTTGTAGTCAAGAGTTCTTTGGCCGAGTCTTTGGATGAAGGCCAGGTGGCCAATGATATCATGAAGCATGTTGCGGACAACAAGGCTTCCTATAAACAGCTTAGAGGAGGTGTAGAGTTCCTGGAGGTTATACCCAAGAGTCCAAGCGGAAAGATCCTTCGTCGGCTGCTCAGGGATAAGGAGCGAGAGAAGAGACGTGCTGAGGGGGCGAAGCTATAGATCTTAGAATACTCGAGCGTCTGTCTAGCATTTCCATTAATTTATTGGTCATCCTCCCAAGGTTAACTAGTAGTTCACTTCACTTGTTCGTCATTCATTATGAGAATTTATCGTGGTTTGTTTCTTCTATTGGTCAGTATGACAATTATTGAAAATGCAATTTATGATGGGAGATGTCTAATATTCTTGGAGTCTTGGTGGAAGTGCATGATATGCTTGGGAAAAGAGTTGCTAAGGAAGGAGATGCTTAGAGTGTCAAGAGGTGAGGCGTCGACAATGGAGATACCGATGACTTGCTTGACATCTCAACTTCGTGAGAGAATTTAAGAATTGAAAAGGGATCAAGAGTAAGCAAGCTTTGAAGGGGAGGATGTTGAATGGGTTGAGAAGAAATGGTGGTGATGAATATTAATCGCGGCGGCTGAGAAGCCCTCGAAAAAAAGGCCGAAGAGAATGGCATTTCTCATCTTACTCAAAAAATAGAGTACGTCACTATAAACTCATTCATATCTGATATAGTTCTTGAACAAAAATAATCAAGTGTCATAGATATCTAGGTTGGGGAGTTCTATACTAACATCTTTATTTCCGCAATGAATCGGGAGTTGAGCGCTTATTGACCAATAAACATGCTGCAATCTCTGGCAAGTAACCGCGACTCTGTTTTTGATTGAGAAATTCCATAAACTGGCTTGCTTGGCAGGTCAGATGAGGTGAGACTGCTCTGATCCAATAGTATCCAATGTTGATGAGTATGCCCAGTCAGGCTGCACGAGTTAAGGCACCTAGGCTGTGCAGGAAATGGAGCATTTCAGGCTCGGCGGGGCAGTCAGCTGATAATATCTGAGCCCCTCCTCAACTGACCAGGATCTACCCTTTCAACTTAGGTACTAACTAGTCATCAACTTCTTAGTTCATTTGTATTGGCACCAATTCAACATGGCCTCATCCACCTCTGCTGAGAGTGAGAGCCAAGAAAGGCACGGACTGTTTGTTCTCCATCCTGGCCCAGATGAGCTATACGACGCTAGCAATTACCTCGTCGAGTATGTGGCCGTCAGCCTCACTTCGCAAGTTTGTACCGCTTCTGACACTTCACTAGTATTGTCGGGATCCATGGTCTTGGAGGCCACCCGTTCAAAACATGGAGAGAAAAGGAAGGTCGGCATTTGTGGCTGCGAGACTCTCTACCAACCCATATTCCTCAATCGCGAATCATGAGTTTTGGATACGACTCAACCGTGCTGTTCGGCAAATCCCGCTCCCAGATTTACGATTACGCCGTGGATCTGGCCAATCGACTGGAGATATTTCGTCAAAGTTCGAAAGAACGGTATCGACCTTTAATCTTCATCTGCCATAGTCTAGGAGGCGTTGTGTTCAAGGAGTTTCTCGTCCAGGTAACCCTGAACAAAGATCTCGAGCACCTCGCTCACAGCGTTGCGGGCGTCATATTTCTAGGTTGCCCTCACAGAGGCTCCCGAGTTGCGTCCCATGCACGTATGTTATCGAAAATTGTCAACACTGCGACACTTGGTACTGGCGCGAGATCCGACTTATTGAAAACGCTTCAGGTCTCCTCTACAGAGTTAAAAGCCATTTCTCAGCACGCAAAGTATCCTTTAAAATCTCTTGTCATTGTGTCGTTTTACGAGCAGCAACCGACGGGACGAAGCATGGTAAAGACGAGCACTCCCAGACCTTGATAACATTTCTAACTATGAATTAGGTTGTAGAACCATTCTCAGCAATCTTGGGCCTTCCTAACGAACGTGCTGTTCCCGTCAATACAAACCACCGCGGGCTCGCTCACGTCTCACCAAAAAAGCCTCACCAGTACCTCCCGATCTGGTCTTCCATCAAACAGCTTGCGGAAGGTTAGATCTCTCATAATCTGAGACTGTGGCGTACTACTAACGTGTTTGACTAGGCTGTTTGACATCCATAGAAGCCGACAATCGAGCGCTCCTTGACGCTCTATTCTGTCTTGACCCCAAAGCAGCTCAAATGAGACCCCGTCAGTCACAAAACGGCACTTGCCAATGGATTTTCAGTCATCCAAAGTATACAAAATGGCTGCAATCGACCGAAAGGCCAATACTCCTACTCACAGGCCGCCCGGGATCTGGGAAGAGTGTTCTCACACGTTGTGTGGCAGAGAATATCCAGTCCTACGGTCTAGACAGAGATTCGGAATCCGGTTACCTCGTGGTCAGTCACTTTTGTTCATATATGGATACAGCCTTGAACAGTGAGGATACAGTACTGCGTACTCTTCTACATCAGCTTGTTCAGCTCAATCCGCGGTGCGGTATGCTTGTTCGCAATCGGGTGGAAACCCGTACGAAGGAGGGCGTTGTTCTCGACCTGTCTACCAAAAACATGTGGAAAGCCTTGGAGCAAGTTCTCTCCATGCAAACCATGAATCGAGTAATTATCGTCATCGACGCGATAGAAGAGCTTGGCACGGCTGTTGCCACTGCGGTCCTTGTCGGCCTTTGGGAGATCGCCGATAACCTCAGCGAACAAAATATGCACCCGAGAGTCTTTATCTCAAGTCGCCCCAGCCCTAGCTTAACAGATGGTGGGCTAACGGGGCTTGAGATACTGAATCTTGGAGACATTGACATGAGAATGGACATTGAGAAATACCTCACAAGCTCCGTTGATGACTTCAGAACAGAGAACGAAAGCTTTAACGCGTCCATCACACCACTTCTACAGAAGCAAATTGTTTCTCGCATATCAGATGCCGCTGCTGGCATGTTCCTTGTCGCTGTGCTCGCTTGGGAAGATTTCCAGAGAGGCTTGCTGTGGAATCAAAACACGGTGGCCCAGAAGCTAGACGAGGTCTTATCAGTCGGATCCAGTATGACAACCTACTACGACAGGTTAATCGAAAAGATTGACGAATCTGTGTTTGAAGACGCTTTTCTGATCTTCTCTATCTTGGCTGCCGCAGCGCGACCCTTGTCTGAAGTTGAGATCGGGACAGTCTTGGGCATTTGCCAGTCAAGAACGCATATCAAACAATCGCAAGACTTCGAGCCTTTCGAAAATCTGAACATCGTGATGGAAAGAGAGGTTCCCCATCTCGTATCGCTCCAAGATGATGGCACTATCACTTTTGTCCATTTGTCATTCAAAGATTACATTGAGAGTCAAGAAAGATTTTGTGACATAATCGAAACGGGACGTCGGAGCATCACCAAGGCTTGTCTCATATATCTCAAGCTACAAGACTTATTAGAGAGTGCTGCAGTTGAAACAGAATACGAAAGTACGAACATCAGGTACCCAACTCTGGAGCCATAAAGAGTGCTGACATTGTAACTCATAGAAATTGCCGCAGAATATCCCTTTCTTGCTTATGCTAGTAATCATTTTTTGTGGCACATCAATGGATTTCGCCCGCAAGATCCCATTTGGCTGCTATTCTCCGACACAGCTGGAGAAAAGAGCATTTATTCCTTAAACTCATTATGGCCAGAGAACAAATACTATGGAACGACTCCTTTACGATATGTCCTCGGTTACCTGCCCGAGCGGTCTGCCCTTTCGCTTGCACGCAGCTTTCAGGAATACGGCTATGATATGGACGAAAGGTGGTCACCGACTTGTGGAAGAGCGCTCCAATACTGCTGCATGAACGCGAGAAATAGCTTTGGCAAAAAGGCAGCTCTTCTGCTGCTGGAACTTGGAGCAAACCCAAGTCTACCCGAGAACCCTTTCCGATCCAACCTTCGGCTTGCCATCATGGCAGAAGCGTGGGAGTTGTATGATGCAATACTTTGTCATCCCATGACAGACTTGAGCGCGAGAAATGAGCAGGGGGGGACGTTGTTGCATGATCAGGTTAAATGCGGCCCAGTCGAACGCATTGCTGAGATGTTAGACCTGATTAACGAAGTCGATCTTAACGCCCAAGACCGTGATGGATACACTCCACTTCACCTCGCAACCTCTCTCGGTAGAGAAGATGTGGTACGCATGCTTCTCAGTAAGCCGGGTATTCGGCTTGACTTGACCGACAGGATAGGCCGGACACCGCTGACTTTGGCTACTTACTGGGGGTTAAAGTCAATGGCGTTGGTGCTCATCGAGCACTCAGAGGCGTTTCCCATATCTAGAGGAGGACACCTCAGCGCATTGGTTCTCGCAGCAAAACATGGCGACAAGGACATATGCGAGCGGCTAATGGCCGCCTGTAATTACCAGAACCTGAGCTTCCATCTCGATATGTCAGGCAAAGGAGTGTTACATCACGCTGCCATGAATGAATGGGAGGATATGATAGAAACATGCTTGCGTCGAGGTGGCAGAACCCTGAATATAGACCAGATAGACCACTCTGGTCGCAGTGCGTTGCATTACGCTTCAAGGCTTGGCAACTTCAAGAGCTGCCAGGCCCTCATCCAGGGGGGTGCCAGCCTCACACTGCAGGATCGCCTAGGCAGGACAGCTGTCCAGGACGCTGCTGATGCTGGCTTTAAAGAATGCCTCCTCCTCCTGTTGAAAAGCGGCCGCGCCGATCCAAGTCAGCGTGACATCGACGGGCGCAACCTAGCCCATTGGGCAGCCACTTTGGATTGTGTCGATGCGATGGAGCTGATATCCAAAATACCTGGCGCCAAGTTAGATCAGCGAGATCGTCATGGTAAAACCCCGATTGACATTGCTTTTATTTGTAAGAGCAAGTACGTTGGTCTGTTCCTCGCGGACAAGGTACCTTGGACCAATATTTACTACTGGGATTTGATGTACGACACGCCACGTATCGACTATGAAGCCGGAGATGATCAGGTAGAAACGTGCTATGAAGCTGATCTGCTGGAGAGAAATGCAAGGCGTCAAAAGCGAGCAAATGAAGAACATGAGCAACTACGAATGCAGTACCCGCCTCATCTTTGGGCACTGATCCCATGTATTCGTAAGGAAACCGAGACAGAGAAAGAGAATACCGAAAAGAAAAAAATCAAGAAGTCTACGAAGGAGAAAACATCGAAAGAGAAGGCATCGAAAGAAAAGGCGTCCAAGGAGAAGACTGCGAAGAATAAAGCTACCAAAGAGAAGGCCAGCGAGAAGAAATCGTCGAAGTCTGGCAAGAAGTGAGAATCCTTAGGTGACCACTCAGGGTATTGGGTGATAATGGAAATACTACAAGTCGGCATTCACAGTCCGTATAAACTATTTTATGTGTATGATTAATAGACTTCCAAAGTACTATGGTCTTGAACATGTATAGATAGCCATAGGATATTTATTTATATAAGAGAAAGACTAGTATAAGATTTCAGAGGAACTATATAACTGTACTCAAGATACTAGAAGATATGATCCTCTACTTGGTCCGCCATCAGGCCCGTCGCATGGGCAAGCTCGTTTTATGTCTCCTCGACCACTCCACTGCTCTATAATAGAATACATCCTCCTTAACCTTCGCTGTGATCTTATCCATATCCAAATTCTGTCCATCCTCCACAGCCCTTTCAAGTTCCGTCAAAAGAGCCTGACAGTCCCAACACCCACAAGCACGATACTCCTGTCCAAAGTACACTCGGTACAATCTTCTCGTCTCGCCAAAACCATCACCTAACTGTGGCTTCTCAATGGTATCATCGTGATTTACGAACTTTCCTGTCAACACCTTCATCGCTTGTCCATAATGCTTGGCCGTGCATTGATGAGTATGCCAAACTAAATCAATATCCAACGTTGGCACAACAGTGGTCTTTGATATCTTGAGTAGCTTGCAGAAGTTCTGATACCGCGCAATAGCTCGACGAATAGTTCCTTGAAGAGCTGGACTTCTTATCCACATGAAGGAATTCATCTTATCAACAAACGATGCCTGACGAATAACTGCATCTCTGAGCTGTTTCGCCAATTCTGAGTCATACACCCGAAAGAGCTGTGAGTATTCCTTACATGGGCTCTCGTCTATCGAGGGTCTATAGCCTCTGACCCCAAAACCCTCCTGGGACATGAGGACAAGCGTGGGTGATGTAAGGTCCTTCCATGAAATGATATCGTTGAAGAGATTCGGTGCGAAGCCCGATGCTTCTTCGTAGTTTGCTGCTGCTGCCGGTGGAAGATTGAAGGCCCACTCTGTATTATCGATGGCGTTGTGAATGTGCTTCCATGGAAACCTGACTGAGAAGAGAGGTTCCTTAGAACAATTGTTCAAGAATAGACGAGGGTTGAGTAGGAATGAATGCCAGACCATGAGAATATCGAGAGGTGGAAGATTATCTCGTGTAATCTCTCTTTGGGACGATCTGTTGAAGTGACCTCGCCACGCAAGAAAGCGAACTGTAGCAAGCTCAACAAATCTCGGCCACTTCGCCTGTCTTCGATCCCATAGTTTATCATCCTTGAGCGTCTTTTCGTCTCCCTGAGCACCAGTCTTGTGCTCTCTCACAGGTTTAGTCTGCATCACATCATCCAACTCTTTCGAAACAAGAATCTTCTGCCTCAGGATGAAGAGCGTCTCAAGGAATTCAAGGTGAGTTGCGCACTCGGCCTGTGTAGGCAGAGCCAAGTCCAGAGTCATCCGTCTTCTTGAAGGCTCATTGTTGACATTTATTGGTGTCGCAAAGTTGAAGATGCCCGGGTCTGGGATTACTGGAAAGTCCTCTGGTTTGACGGCGAGTTCGTATGGCAGACCATTCGGATTCTTTGGACGCGATGAGCCTGAGACCATGTCCTTTCCCTGCTCATGTAAGGAAAGCTTGGTAAACCGATGCTCCAAAGCCATTTTGCAGGATAAAATCAGAAAATCTCTCAAATCTCAGGATCTGAGGTTTCTTCGCGAACATCTTCAGTCCTCAGACCTTGCTGCCAAATGAGGCGATCCAGGCTCAATAACGCCGGGCAATCGGACAGCCCCCAAACTGCCTCGCTACGCCTCAAACAAAAAAGTGTACCACGTCTCAGGCACCCTTGCTTGTCAGCTTCGCAATCTCACCAATAGCGCGCTCTGAAACAAAGACATCTTACGCCCGGCTAAAGAGAGGCAGAGTGCCCAGGCGTTCTCGACCCGTCGATCATGGCGGGGTTATTCCGCTGTTGACCAGCATGCCACTGTAAGTTGACTGACCTGAGCTTTCGACATTCACAACACAACATCAACGCTCATGCTAAGAGTAAAATACAATTATGGATACTCTACACAAAGCGTTCTTCTCGATCTTTATGATAACATGGGGTATCCTCATGCTCGTCAACGTTGCTAGCATTTGCGGTAGGACAGCAAGGACATTTGGACGGCTTCGCTTCTGGTCACTTATCCCTCTCTGGCTGTATGGACCGCTGGTAGTTTTAAATCCCTGGTGGCGGCTGGGACATTTAGACAGAGGACGTCAATTTCTCGTGGGTACCCTACTTCCGCTACATGGCTTGGGATGTTTGTATTGACGGTTGTAGGGCATCTGGTTGACCTTATGGCCTCTCATCAGCGCAATAATCGCGACGACATGCAAGAGCCAAGGATCCCTCGGGTCATGGAACTCCTCCCAGCGAAGCCGTGGCTGCTTTTACATCTTATGCGTTGACTGGGCTATTATTCTCTTCTTGATCGTGGAAGTCTGCCGGAACCCGATTCCCACTGGATCCAAAGACTGGACCTTCGGAGCTAGCCTGGGGAAGATCATGACTATGTTCACAATCATCCTTCTGGCTAGTCAAGACGTTCTGTTGTTCCCACTCGCCGCGTTTCCTCGCTTCATAAGCGTGCCAGCGATCGTACTCAGACGACGCTTCCTCCCAGCACAGCACAAACCGGTCAAGCGATGGCCGCACGACCTCAATCGACTGTTGTCGCAAAAGTCTCCAGATCGAGAGAAGTCCTTGGCGACCATGCTACAAAATGACGATATCGCTGAGCGAGTCGCGAGCTATCTTCACTACGATGACGTGGTGAACTTATCGCTCACGTCTAAATTGATGCGCACTACGGTCTTCTACCCGTCGGTGGATCCAGACACTCGTCGGGACCGAATAGAATCGCTATGTATAGCATCGTGTCTCAAAGGGACCAAGAGCGAATGCTGGTCATGCGAACGCGTGATCTGCAACGTAAGTTAATCGTGACCTCTTGTTACTCGATGCTGACGATTTCGTAGACCTGCAGAGCCCCGAAGCAACGAATCCGATCGTCCCGTATAAAAGACCATTTCACGCATTGTTACGCCGTTTGTACCATGTGTTACCTGATCTCCGCCCAAGGCGGCGCGGCACCCTTCAATGCGAAATGGAACATGCAAGATCTCGAGATGCAGCATATCAATTGCTGTTCCTTCCGAGAGCCGCAATGGGAAGATGGTGGTGGATTCTTGTGTCGATACTGTATCAAGCTTGACGGGCAGAAACTCACAGAGATGAGGGAGATGAGGGACGAGTTTTATCTCAGCAAAACATTGCCGAGGAATATCGACTGCGCGATATGTATGTGGCCTATAGGGAAAAGGTCTACTCGGTGGTGGTTTTGTGCGAAAGGAAAACATGAGTGCCATTGGGCGGGCCACCATACGTAGTAAATGATTCAATGTATAACTATGATTGATGTGTATTCCTATGCTTCATCCTCCGCAACCACCACATCCTCCATCACCACCATCACCACCACCACAACTTGATACACATCCACTTCCGCAAGTATCCCCAGCCATTCCTGGAGATCCGACTGCACATCCCGCTGCTACCGCACCACAAGCGAAAGGACCTGCGCCGCACCCTCCACCGCCACCATCATCCGACGTGTTTGCACCAACATCGAGCTTAATTGCTCTCCAGTCCCTGAACTTCTCATACTCTACAACTCTTAATGGTTGAGCGAGGAAGGCCCAGTCAGCGACAAAGTACTGGTGGTAAGCGCCTTTCTCAAAGTGGTGACTGAAAGGTTGTGCGCGATGAATACCGCCAAGCTTTAGTCTATCCATGGTTTTATCCTCATGATTGGTGAGCCATGTGGTTGATGCTCGGAATGGACTTGAGTTTGCCATAGCGACCGCAGTTGTGAGGAGGACGTCTTGGCCGAGCAGCACAGTGATGCGGTTTTTGAACCACTCGGTGTCCGTCATTATGCCGGGGTTTGCTCGCTTCTCTGGTGATTTACCCATGGAAGGCTGTGTATTAGCTGGATACAGTTGCCGGCCTCGGGCAAGATGCAGAGACGCGATGGACCAAGAGTCAAACGGAAACGCAAGTACATGTTTGGAAATATTACAGTCGCCACAGTTTCCAGGATACCGATCATATGCTTCGGTACAATCCCATGGAAAGACATCTTGGTATGGGTAAATTGGTCCTTCAAGACAAGCCCAGTCTGTCCAGTATTCGGCCAGCGTATCCACAATGTCAGAGTCATCGTGGCGTCCATAGCGAAACTTGAGTAGATACTCTTCTGTCAGACCATTTGGAACGTCGTATTTTGAGAATGCCCGCGTAGGAACATTCGAGCCGGGTCGACACACAAAGCTCATCAAGTACAGTGGCATCGGCTGGCCTACCGCTGTCTTGGAGGCAAAGAGGGGACCGAATATGTCGCGGTCGATCAATTTGTCACAGAATGCCTGGCAATTGTTGTCACGATAATGCCATTTGAGCTGGACCTCTGGGTCGAGAAGATGAGCTGTGATGCTGGAGATGTACGCCTGCACCCTTGATGCGAGGTACTCTTTGACGTGCAGAAGCAGGCGCTTGGTGCTCTGTTCGAGCAAAGTTTCTTGCTCCGCAAAGGTTAATCCATCCTCGGTCAGACAATTGGATTCATGTATGAAGGCGTCAATAAGCTCGTCTTCAATACCAAACTCGAAGAAATCGCAAAAGGCACCTCCGGCGACTTGTTTCATAAAGGCTTTGTATCGCTTTGGGTGTCGCGGCCTGTCCTGTATGTAGAGAAGACGATCTCTCTCGCCTGTGAGAAGAAGGGATTTGGCGATGCTTTCTGAGGGATCACGGATGACTTGTAATGAAGGCGGATCTCGACTGGTGACAAGTACACCGCCCATGGTACTAAGTTATCAGCTTCTGTTATGATGATGAGTTGAGCAACTTACTTTGCGACGCCATTCTCAATGATCAGAGGGCCAAAGCGAAGAGCCATATGAACGTTCCCGTAAGGGTACTTCTCAATAGTCGACCTCAAGTAAATTGGAATGTCCTCCGGCTCATCAGTACTGAACCCATAAGAATAGCCGTATTCTGGTAGCGAGGTCTCGTTGAGATGTCCCAATCGACTTGGTTGCTTCTTGGTGGCGGCCACAGGTTTGGGCAGCTCGCCTCCTACCGGATCCTTCTTTCTTAACTGAAGTAGACTGTCGTTTTTGCCGAATTGTGATCTTGTAGACGCATACTTGGCCTCCGCAAAGAGGTCTGTGACCGTGTACAGTCCGCATCCTACACGACCAAGCCCGCCTTTGATGTGATGGCCTTCATCGCGCGTAGGGTCAACCGGCCATAGCGACCTGGAGCGTCCATCTTGATCGCGTCGACGGACTGTACTGCAATAGCACAACTTGCGACTGATCTCTGGCGTCAAGGCTGTCGGAAGACAGCATTCTTTGTATTTCTTGACAAAGCGCGTCTGGCCATAATGTGTCGCTCGGTAACAGCCTTCGCATATGACAATGCTTTCGTCGCTCGTGTCCTTGAAGGTGCACCCTCGAATTGTCGCCTTGCATTCGGAGCAAAGATGTGGGACAAATACCGGCTGGTGTAAATTGTCATATGACCAGAGCCGTATTTGAGCAGAGGCGGGTCTTTTCCAGAACGATAGTGCCTTTTCCGGTTCGCGATGCTCGATAATTTTGTCGATGTCGAGGAATTGCGCTGATTGAAGAAGCATGCGGGCTCTTCGCCTAGCCGGGTCCAGTAGTTTGCGCTCGCTAAGGGAGGTTCTTATACTGCCCTTGGTGCTGTTGCTCTTTATATCGGCGAAGATGTCCCAGCCACGGTCTCGTAGAACTTCATCGTATGAAGGTGGCGCTTTTGTGTCTTTTTTGGCCTTCTTCTCTGGGCGTTTGGATCGTTGGTTTCTCTTGTTGCGTTCATGAAATTGGCGAGAAATATCGGAAACTGAGTCGACAAAGGTGTCGTAACCGTAAATAAAGTCATCTTCTTCCTCTGGGAGGAAATCGGATGTGTCTGGACGTGATTGCCAGCGCCCGAATGTCAACAGCAAGTAGGGCAGTTCTCGCTCAACTCCCTCCCAGTACATTCTGAGCAGCTCGGTTTCCAGCAGATCAGCTGCAGGACCCAGGCGGGTGCTGGGAATCACAGGGGCATTAGTGATTACGCCGCTGCTGCCGCTGGACGCTGGCACCGAACGAGACAGAAACGCGGGGAGTGAAGGCATCTTGCGATGAATCTATTCACGAAGCGTTACATGCTGAAGTTTATTGAGCGACAGAAGTTTTCGAATTAGCAACTATCATCTCAATCAGGCGGGCAGAACGCCTTGCATGAAGGCTGCCATCCTCAGTGTCTCGGTCACTGTGACCAGGCGCTGAGGTGGGGAAGCGGAATTACAGCGCTGCAGCTTCGGTATCGCATCCTGCATGGATTTGCATTGAACAAGGCATACTCGGCTTCCACATCAACCAGGCGGGGGTGATGACTGTCTGTGGTTGAGGCGCACTGCTTTGACAGTCAGGAATGATCACGTTTGCATCCAGAAAGCCATGATAGATGTGTAAACTTAATACAAGCTTGCCTGGCCCCAACTCTCTGGACCCTGCCGATAAATTGCCTGTTCAAGAATGGAGCTTGGCGGGTGGAATGCCTGCTGCAATGGATCTCACACTCGATGCCCGATCCGGCGCCGTAAATCCGGGAATCGGGCCTTGCAGTCTCCCGGTTCTGGTATGTTAAATTGAATAAAACAAGCCTCATGAGCTTGTTTGTTGATGGGATCGATGCTAGTGCAGATCTTGTAGCTTTCGGAGAATTGAGGCTTCTCGGAGATGACGACGTAAGCGATAACGAGTCTTATAAGTATTGGCGGTGCATGGGACCTTTCCAGGTCGTCAGATGAGGATTTGTCGACTCGATAACTCGTGAATCCAACATTTAAATCGTTGAAGTTTCCAAATCAGAAGAATCAAGAACTGCGCCTCGAGCATCCCATTATCGTCGAAATGAAGGTCGTTATCGCAGGCTCAACCGGATTTATTGGAAAGGAAGTCGTCCGCCAGGCGCTCCTGCACCCTCAGATCACCTCAGTTGTCACATTATCGCGCCACGACCACGATCTTTCCGAAGACCTACAAACACCAGAGATCGAGTCCAAGCTCACGTCTGTTACCTGTTCAGACTTCAAAAACTACCCGCAATATGTCAAGGATGAGATCTCCGGAGCAGATGCTTGCATATGGTACGTCTTACCGGCTTCTCAATGACCCAACTGACCGTGCAGGCTTATTGGAGTAACACCCGGCAAATTGAAGCAGTACGATTGGGATCAAGTTCGTATGATCTGCTACGAGTATGCGCTCTACGCCGCCGACACATTTGCGAAGCTTCCGCGCGAGGGCAATCCGGATCCCCTGCGATTCATTTACGTGAGCGGTTGCAACGCCGAACGAGACCCCGCAAAGAAGCCATGGATTCTTGGAGACTACTGTCTTCTTCGTGTACGTCTTCAAGCCCATCGTTACCATATCATTGCTAACAGCGCGTCCAGGGCCAGGTAGAGAAACAGATCATCGAGCGCGCGCACCTGTCGGACGGGAGAATGCAGGTCCTCGTCACCAAGTCAGGAATGGTCAACGATCCGGATATGGGTTTCTTGAAACAGGGACTCCGTTGGTTCTCGCATGCTGTCATCAACATCCCCAACATTGGGAGGACGGAGTTGGTCGCCGGATTAATTGAACAGTCAATCACTGGGTTTGGTAAGGATACGTTGTCTAATGCGGAAATGGTAGAAATTGGAAAGAAGGCATTAGAGAAGAACGAGATTTTGGAAGCAAAGGCTTGATAGATGGTAGCTAGTATAGTCGTTGCTCGTTAATAGCAAGATACTAGGATTGCTTCCGTTCGTTATTGAAGACGCGTCCCTGTGACCATTCACTTGCAATGTTGCAAAAGACATTATAGAAGGGACTTTTGGGCAAACTTTTGATGGGAACACACAGTACCAAGTACGTATTTATGTATGAGTTGGGTGATCCCAATGAAAACGTGTCTTTGTCGAGTCGCGATGCTTTGGTTGGGACCAACATTATTGTGACTTCGTTGGCCAGTTTAGGCTTCTCCCACACTTTCTCAATCCAACTGATATTCAAAAGACAATAACATGAGTCACCTTGACCCAGACATACAACATTTTACCCCGACCAATATTGAACGTTCAAAACTCAGTCATTTAATTTTATTAATTATATTGCTACGGAGTATATACACCACTTCTATTTACCATGTTGGAATTAATGTGATTTTGTTCTGCACATTCCCCTACCCTAAGCCTCCAGCATCATGAAAACACGGACGCGATCGACGTCACAGAAGCGAGTAATCATGCACTCAACCAAACCAAAAACAAATGTACGCCACGCCACGGCCTTCGGTAGCCAAATTTGAAACCTCACGGAGGAAAAGCTCCTCAATTGCGCTCCTTTTCCTCCGTATGGTGCACCCGTAGTGGTTGCTTGGATCAATATGACGCCGTGATGCGCGACGCGGCGGAATTGCCATCCCTGACATCATGCGCTAAGGATTTTGTCTCCCCCGGGTCAAGACTAACTGTATGAGCTTATTTCCAATTTTCGTATTCACTGCGGAAATTTTTATTTGTCTATTAAGTAAGAACTCATGCATTATGGATAAGGATGCACATCAAACGCGGCACATCGCCGCCAACCTTGAGCACGGTGCTGATGGTAGCACAACTCTCCACACCAGTGTTCAACATGAGCCTTTGCGTCACGACGAGGGGAAGAAAGTAAATAAGGATGTGATCGCCAACCCAGCAGAAGTTCAAGACGTTGGCTGGGACGATGATCAGATACGGCCCGAGGACTATGCCATCGATGGCATAAAGAACGAAGATATTTGGCTTCTCGTCCGAAGGTTCAACAAAGTGAGTTTATCACTCAGCTTAGGTGAGCGTTCGAGATGATGCATGTCCAAGGTGTATTTGACCATCGGTTGGATCCAGGTGGTTTGACCAGAACTGCCGCCCGAGTTATGGCTAGAAGACAAAGAAGGTGGTTATTGGTCTGATCTCCGAGAAGGGCTGGGTGAGTCTGCTTCTTTTCATGGTTTTATATTCATTGCCTAATCCTCGGCGCATAGTTGAACACCATCGCCGATGTCTTGACACATTCATTCGAGAAGCCTGGTAGCCATACAGCACCTACTGCCCTGCATCTGTGGAGCCATCCTCTAAAACCTTCAGTGGTGAAGACGTGATAAACATCTCCAGCACAGAAGACCCCTCGGCCTCGAAGCAACTCAAACGAGATTATTTTGACTATAAAGTCAAAGCTAAATAGGGAAATGCTGGAACCGAACCATTCTCCAACGCCAGGACCTCCAATTGCACCACCATGAGACCCCTTGCGACTGAAAGCTTCTGCTACAGGTTCTCAACTGCAAACCCAGATCTAGCTCATAACTCGGTCCTGATAACGCAATATCTGGCCAGCTCAGAAGAGGACCTTCCGGTACTCCTCTTAAGCCCGAGACTCGCGAACGACAAATCTCCTCAGAGTTCCCATATGTACATCTTGATCAGACATCAGATGTTCTACACGACATCAGCTTTTTAAACGCAAATGATGAAGACCGCTTCCAATAGCATTTCTCCAAGATGCTCTTCAGCATGGCGGTCATCTCAGCCCCGGCCGGTTCTGGAAAGCCTCATGCCGCAGATCTGTTATTTGCAGTTGAGACTTATGGCTGTGGGCTTAATTCAGCACAGAGAACTTAGTGTCATTTCACTGCGGTGATTGCTTCCATCCTTGGGCTTGGTGAAAGCCATTCCCAGTGCATCATTGCCGCTCCTTCGAACATCGCATGCGACAATACCGAGGAACAGCTTCCACACTGCTCAAGGACTCGCGGGGTAGTTATCGCAACAGGGGCCATAGCACCGCCTATGTCCATGCGTGGCTTTGCACTTCACAAGGAGACCGGGAAGCTCATGCCCCTGCTCCGTGGTCATGCTGTTAAAGAGTACAATGAGCTATATCCTTCGCCTTGGAGATTCCAGCATCCACTTTATTGGTGGACATGATGACGTTGAGAGGTCAAAAGAGGCTTCAACCTCAAAAGAACACTAAACAACACATATAGGCAATATACTCCTGGCCCTCATGTTGATGGACAGCTCGTGACCTTGGTCCTGAACTTGGGAGCGTTGAACAGCTGAATGATGCCACAGAGAGTGAAGACTTGTGCAAGCTACATACAAAGCTTCAAGGCCTCGCGGACCCTGGTCCCTCATGCCCTCCAGATGAGGGCAGTTCAGACAGTTCCGACTCGGAAAATTACGAGGTCGAAATTATGACGAAGAAGACTGTTGAGGAGTTCACCGCTCTCGTCCAAATCGCCCGCAAGACCATTACTTTCACTGAGTGTGAAGAGAGTCAGAAAACCCAAGGAAAGAAAAGAAGCTTGCACTGCGCAATGATATCGGTCGCTTGATAGGTGAGGTTGTCCGAAGCGCAAACTTTGTGACAGTGACACCGGCTATGGCAGGTACCCAACCCTACAAAAGCTTCAATGCCTCGCAGGCCCAGGCGGCCTTGTTCGACGAGGCTGCGGCCATACATCAGAAGGACGGACTCATGGTGTATGGAAACTCTATGCGGCCCATCTTCGCTGTCGGAGACGAGAGGCAACCCCCGCCAACACTTCTAACCATGGGAGAAATGTATCCGGACGGTACCGCGGTCAACCGCTTCGGACAGGACGCCAAGCTTTCTTGGCTATCTTAAAGGTACTACATCGAAAGTATCCTCTACAAATTACAACTCGGGCCCGAGAGCCAGATTTCAAGTTTGAGCCTTAGCTCCTCCACCTGAAGATCCCGGCCTTCCACCTTTACAAGCAGCACCGAATGGCACAGGGAATGTTCGATTTGTCGCTTCGTCTCACTTATAGCCATTTGGAAACTCGGTTCTCATATGGTCCGTCGGCTGCGTTAGAGAACTATCCCTTCGCCAGCGGTATCCGTGAATTTCTAATCGACCACGACGGACCGGGGCTACCCCCGGACACAATGTAATGTCTCCTGTCTTTGTGAACTGCAAGGAATGCCCTTGCCGCATTGATGAAATCACAAAGTCAAAACGCAATCCACGTGCAATCGCATGCATGATAGTGTGGCTTGAAGACTTTGTCAGGCGATTCAGTTCCCCGCCGATCGCATCGTCACCATCACGCCCTACCGTTCCAACCTGTGGCATATTCAGATGTGTTATTTCCAGTTGAGACTCGTGGTTGAGAGCTTAAATCAGCAAAGAGAACTTAACTGTGGCATATTCGTGCTGATTGGCCTCCAACACTCTGCTCAAAGATGTGGAGGCTGCGGCCATCGATTTGTATCAGGGTCGAGAAAACGACACGGTAGTCCTGTGCCTTGCGGTGGACAGAAGCACAGGTTCATGCTTCACTGCCCAACCTCAGAGACTCAAATTTGCTACACGCCGCCATAAACTATTCTTGGTCATCTTCGGGGATATTGAAACATCGCAGGCGGCCGACACTACCCAGGTGCCCAGCACGTCCCAGTCCATACAGGCGACTGCTGAAGGTGGAGCAAAGACCCAAATCAGGTCTGATATGTTTAACTCTCTCATCAACTGGTTCAAAGAGAAGAGCCGTGTGGTCCATGTGCAGGGGGATCCCTCGATTGATCCTGATGAAGAATTCCACGGAGAGGGAGATACCCCCATGGCCACTCCCGCTACGCAGGAGGATACAGACGATTGGGGAAATCCCAATCCAAATAATTTAGCCAAGGGATGTAGCGCTTTTAAGTTAAGTGGTGTTGATGATGTATTTGGAGAGCCTAAGTCAGGCGATGTTGTTAAGGCATGGCCAGGGACTGACCCATTCGTTGGAGGCTGGTAATCACTTTTCTAAATGCATAAACGGTATTAGGATTTCTTTTGACCAGCAGCTAACACATTCTTGAGTAGCAGCAAGTTTCGTGCAGTAAAACCGAATGGCAACAGAACACCTGGAGGAAATGAGCGCATGGTGGATAAGACTTCTACACCTGTCAGACTGACCTCAGTCCTTGCTTGAGATTAAGACAATCCTATCATTCTTTTTCGAGTCTATGGCATATGGTGGTTTGAGTATCATGTCGACAGTAGTTTGAAGAATAGGCCAGCCTTTCGAAATGTACCAATATGAATTCGAGCATGGAAATGCAGCTTCCTACACGCAAAGAAGGAACAAATGAACCGAAAGTCCAAGCTAAAAGAGCCCCAACGTAATAAACGGGCTTCGAAATCTTTGATCTTCCAACATTAAGCATTTTCAAGTTCCCATTGACATAGCACGATTAAACAAGCTCGCCATAACTTTATCTATAAACAGCTAAGCGTAAAACGAGAGATAATCCCTCTGGCAAAGAAAGTAATACATAAACAGTCCAGAACACTCAAAAGAACGGATGCCTTCCGTAGAAAGCCACTGCCGCTAGTTCCACATATCCTTTAGGTGCAGGTAGATGGCGATGAAGTTATATGTTGCTTCAAGGACCACCAGCACGGCCATTGTAGTCCCAGTAACCCTCACCCTTAGATCGACAAGTACCGATAACGCAGTAATAACCACCGCCCTTGTTGTTCTCGTTAGGTGAGTACATAACATAAGGGGTCCCTCCGTGGCCTTCAGTGCATGTGTTCTTGGTGTACTCTTGGACGGTGTCTAACATTTGTCAGTGTTGCCCCATGTTCTTGGCCTGAAGCGACTTACAAGCTGTATGAGCAATATTGTACCAAATGCAGATGGTCTCTCCCTTCCCACCGTTGCAGGTGTAGCTATTTCCAGTCGTCCAGCTTTCACTGACGCTGAAGCCCCCGGAGATCCAGTTAGCAGATGGACCACCGGCACTGGCAGTCCACCCAATAGTGTAGGATACTGAATCAGTTTGACCGACGGAGCAGGATGCCGCATTGGCGCAGTTGATATTTTCCTGCGGTCTGTCAATATAAATCTTACATAATACGCTGCTGGGATAAGGAAAAGGGATGTTTACATACCGATAGCTGCTTGTGGAAATAATTCTGGTGAGGATCGCCTGTTTGGCCGAGTTAGAGACTGTCATATCAGCGATATCGGGGAGTAGTCACCATCCCCAACAAGGACTGTTCTAGTGAACCAGCCGGAGCAAAACGTCTGTCTCTTTTCAAGCTCCGCGCCTGGAGAATGCATCTCATGGCTCAGGCTCCTCCTCTGTAGGGACTGAAGTTCGCCATCAGTGGTACTGTCACTAAAGCAGGCATCTGCCTTGTCTTTGACCACATCGGTAGAGTCCCAGGTGACATTTGAGCACTGCACAAGAGTATATTGAGGGTTGAAGATGCGAGAGCATGCAGGCCCACCAGACCACTCAGGCAGGGAGTGGACCAGATAGCTGGTATCACCGACAGTGAAGTTACCGCTGCCAGTATCATCGACATCTGAGAAGTCAATAGGATACTTAGCATGGATGATACTGCCACAGGCCTCTGCAATGACCTTGCCATCAGAGCCCGTAGCGCTCACAGAAGATGCCTTAGTATCTTTCTCAAGGCGCCAGGTCACCTGGACATCAGCCGCAAGAGCTGTGGAGAGGAATAAGAGAATAGAGGTAAGAGATCGCATCTTGATATCGAGGAGAAGTAGAGCTGATACTGATGATAAAAAGTTGTCTCCTCATCGAGGCATTCCCATGACTTATATACCTTTTGTCAGGTCTCCTAGCATGACATAAGACCATACTGTTTATACGGAGCACGTTGAAGCCGACAAAGTGAGTATAGATCGGCATGATCATTGTAGTAAACCTTCTTCCTTGACACATCGTTGCCCCGTGGGATTCAAAGGATTCTGTCTTCTGCCTTGATTTAAGCTTGGGCTCAGTGTTTTGGATACATGCCGCATGGATAGCCCAGCATACTGTTCGAACGGAATGCGGCATTGATCAGCTTCCCCAGAGTTGTTCCATGAGCCGGGGTATTGTGGTGCGATAATATACGCCAAAGACAATTAAAGTCCTCTTCCTGGAGGGATCGTCGAGTGGGCGACTTGCTCTATTCTGCTGCCTAGAGTGGCTTCATTGAACCCGGTAAACTCAATGACTCTATCTTGCTTCTACCTTCCTGAAGGGGACATGAATGCAGTGTTGACTTGAGCTACGTAGGCCTGGTGCATCTTCCCGGTCGCTCCTCATTCCCAGTTTTGGTGGAATCTAAGGCTAACAGAATGGCTGGGGAAGAGACAATGAAAGAAGTACCACATAATTAACATAGTAATTGCCCAACATGTGTCCTTAAAGGTTTAAAGCCAAGCTCCTCAGTACAATTTTGCCCAACTACAATCGTTGAGTGTGAAAAATGATGACATGGCTTGATACCAACCAACTTTTCCATGTCACCAATATCGCATCATTGTAATAAGTTTAACCTTAATAAGGTCTAGTAAAGTCAATTGAAGTTTAAATTGCGTCTCGGATGCCTAGGCAGATCGATCCTGACGGGATGGGCGATGGCCTAGTAATGCCTGGTGATGCTTCATAAACGCTCGAGCCAATCAAGAGCGTTGTCGCACCGGGGACCGCAGCTTTCAAGGCAAAACGCAACCTTGCCTTAGCCTCTCGAATGTTCCCACTGACGGTGTAACAAAGGTCGGCTTGGAAGCCGGTCACGAGATCAATCTTTGCTATTCATCCTCTCCGACCCAAGTCTTCCTGCAGCACTAAGCGGATGTCTCAAAGGCTCCTTTCCTCGTCAGTCAATGGCAGAGAGAGATCTTTCCCACCTTGCTTCATTCTTATCACCCAGTCACATTGGGGAACTATGTGATACAGGCATGTTCGCGATCATACCCTTCGACGAACTGTTAATATATAACATTAAGCCAGTCTCTCTGGGATTTATTCTCTATCGGAAACTCCGCATATTCTCTCTTAACAACGAAACGTGAGTACTGCAATACTAGAATGTACTATATGTACTTTACTCCAAGTAAAGGCATTTCAAAGAGGTAAACAGCATGCTTGGCGAGCTGCTTTATGTCAAGACCCTTTACATAACTGTATATATCTAGAAGAACTGTCCCTTTGAGCTGCGTTTTTGTCTAACAATACTAAAGAATAAATTAAAACATATCTAAGTACTAATAAATAATAAGAAATTCACTCCGTTCTGGTATTTCCAATTACATCAGGATGAAGGTTTTCAGCCTTGTCGATTGACTGACTCCGTGAAATTCCAATTCTGCACAGCCTCGCGAGGCAGATTTGCGAACCACTCACGTCAGATCATTTCAGGGGCGGCTCCGACAAACGCGTACCTCACCTCCCACTCATTGTTTTTTCACTTATCAACATTCGCGACAACTTTGCTCAAAACCCCAATCGCAACGTCAACATGGCGGATCCCTTGTCAATCATCGGAACAGCGGGAGCCATCGCGAATATTATCGATGTACTCACCAAAACAATCACAACGGTATGCGACATGCGACAAGCCTGGAAAATCGCCGACCTCGCCGTGTTCGCGTTCGAGAACCAGCTCAACCTCCTCAAGTTTGCACTTTTTGAAATTCAAAAATGGACAGAGTCCAGATCCGACGCACAATCACATCAATTGGTGATGCAAGTAGACAGCTGCGTAACGTGCTGTCGGCTTCTCATTGGCAAGATTGATGGCGAAGTGTCGCAGTTTCAGAAAACAGTAGCTGGAGGTCTAGAGCTTGGTTCCAAGCTTTCATTTCTGTTCAAGACCAAAGATATGGAGCAAATTCAACGGATGGTTGACCAACAGACACATACACTAACACTTCTGTTAAGTGCTTGCAACTCGTGAGTTTGCCCATCTTCGAACGTTCTTGAAAGCTCTAACATTACCGCAGAAATGCCTTGGAAGAGCAAACGAGAATCTTGCAACAGCCTAAAATCATTCAGGCTCTGGAGGTCATGGACCGAGACACTGCGTCTCTCATTGTCCATCGAGACTCAGACTCCATAGTTACCGCTACGTCCGTCAGTTCTTCACGATGGTCGGTTCAGTTTGCGTTCGATCGGGAGCTTTTCATCAGCAAAGTTTACGACAAATGGATTCGGAGGCTTGCTACAACGCGGCGGAGCAGCAGTCATCGCTCGGAAGATACCACTCAACAAGACCATCAACAAATCTCAAATAACGATACTACCTTCTTGAGTATATCTACCGAAGAGCAGAAAACTACTCTTGTACACGCAGAAGCTGCTACTTCAGAAGAACCGATTCGGTCACCAGCAAGCATTGGTGAACAACTGAATTCTTTGACACGTACCGCCATGGGCATAGAGATGCAACCCCTGAGACGAAGCAGAACCACGAGTAGCTTGGAACTTCAAACCAAGGAATCCCAACGTATTGATCAGAACTTGAAAGACGATTTGAAATCAGCTAAACGAGAGATCAAAGTAGTCATGCTTGGTTCAAAGTCGAGGAAGCGAGTATTCGAAGAGATGCGACTATCAGATGGCCAACCACAATGTTACACAACTGAGCAACTACGACCGTTCCGACCTATAATTCTTGGCACAGTTTTAGAAAGTGTTCAGTTTCTTGCAAAGAAGCTCCTGGTCAGTGAGGCCACCAGAGAAGATGCCATACGGACGTTCTTGGCAGATGTGTTGATATGCGGCAAAGAAGACTTGGATCTCGACAATGGTTTTGAACCATGGGTTGTCCAATTGTTCCGCACAATAATGGAGCATGCGGCGACAAAGGCCTTAATGATGGACGAAACCTTGGTGCTTCCAGAGGATGTTGCCTAGTATGTTCTTTTGAAATTTCGGCCTGACCCTGCAGTACTGACTCTTTCCCCTAGTTTTTTAAACCATATAGAAAGGGTCATGCAAGATGAATATGTCCCCACAGACTCGGATGCTATAAACTGTCCAACACCACTGCCTGGCTGCGTGGAGGCTGCGTTCAACATGGGCCAACTCACCATGCGACTGACAGATCTTGGCAACGCAATGAAACCAAAAGTAGTTCCTCAACTCGAGACAGCAGCAGCCGTGATATTTGTTTTCGATTTGAGCAGTTCAAGCGGCGAGGCCTTACTCCAGTATGAATCAACCGTTAATTTCCATTGGTTGAGAAATTCATTTATTGTTGTCGTCTTCAATAATTCCAAGGGATTTGCCAAGAGACTCGCAGAAAAGCCACTAAGCGATGAATTTCCAGATTATACGGGAGGAGATGATGAAAGGAATGCATCAACGTATATTCTGTCCAAGATTAAGGTTTTGAACAGGTCTGATCGCCGGTCATATGTCCATTTCTCAAATGCAGCGTTCGATGATGGGGACTTGTACAGGATATGGCGATTGATCCAGGACGGTATCATTCACCGTTCGTTGAGACGTCTCGTGCCGAAGTAAGGAAGAAGTATACCGAAACAGCTCCGCGAAGGATAATATTTTGCGAACCAATATCAATTCGCAGCTTTCCAATTGGGTATCTAACGTTAGTCCAAGACGAGAGAATTTAGTCTGGGAGATTCGCCGTGGGTCGTTCCAAAAAGGAAATGTTTCGCCGAAAACTTACCCCAAAAACCTAACTAGCGCAAAGGCCTTTTCTCCAAGAAAGCCACCAATGCCATGAGTGGGCCAACCCCAAAGCGTTTCCCCGGAGCTAGGGGCTTCCCCAGACTAAATTCTGTGGGGTTGATGCTAAGATGAGGTCAACTTCATGGGTTATCTGTCGCCAAGTATAAAAACTCATGATCCCTTCAACTTTGAGGACATCAGAAGTCATAAGCTCCATGACTTTCTTATGTAATTTTGTTCTTCTAAGACTTCCCATTCGCCATGTCCAAAGAATCTCTCAGCAACTCGCCTAGTCATGTCGAGGAGACTGAACCAGTGCCCCAAGCCGAGGCTGCCATTGAATATGACAGTAATGGCTTGAGTGGCATCGTTAGATCTCCGTATGTTCTGGGAGCTGCCACCCTGGCTTCACTTGGAGGTTTCTCCTTCGGTTATGGTAAGTCTACGGTTGCCAAATTTATCTCTAAGCTAACAGTTACCAGATCAGGGCGTTATTAGTATCATCCTCACAATGAGGCAATTCCACGACCAATTCCCTGAAACAGCCCCTGGCCATCCTCGATATGGCTTCAATGTTGGTTTCATGACCGGCATGCTCGAACTTGGTGCCTTTGTTGGCTGTCTTTTTCTCCCATACCTCGCAGACCGCATCTCTCGAAAGTGGGCTATGACTGTAGCTACTGTCTTCTTCACCTTCGGCGCTATCATTCAAACTGCTGCTCACAACTATGGTACACTTGTTGCTGGAAGAGCTATTGGTGGAATTGGCGTTGGGACTCTGGCAATGGGTGCACCTCTTTACATCTCTGAGATCTCCCCCCCGAACCTGCGAGGCTCACTCCTGGTTCTTGAAGCTCTCTCGTAAGCCAATCTTCAAACTTCATTCCTGGATTGCGTCTAACAGTGGAGTCAGTATTGTCATTGGAGCCATTATTTCTTATTGGATTACATATGGCACAAAGGATATGGCCAGTGAATGGTCATTCCGACTGCCATTCCTTCTCCAGATGGTTTGTCCAGCTTCCACCGATTCAACTACGGATACTGACCTCACATTTTAGCCTCCTGCTCTCTTAGTCGGTCTCGGAATCCACTTCTTCCCATACTCTCCCAGATGGCTCGTCATGCGCCAACGCGACAACGACTCTCTTCATGCCCTCGCCCAACTCCGCCGCGTCCCCGCAACCGACGATCGCGTACAGGCCGAATGGAAAGGAATTCTCACTGAAGTCCGATTTCAACAGGAAATTCTTTCTCATGAACACCCCAATGATAACGGTATCATTCTGGAGCTGAAGCAATGGGGTGACCTATTCCGACCCAGGTGTCTCAAGCGCACTGCAGTTGCACTTGGAATCCCTTTCTTCCAACAATTTTCTGGAATCAACGCTTTCGGTAAGGAAAGACCACAGTTATCTTTGGTTGGAGTGTTCTAACGACATCAGTTTATTATGCTCCCACTTTCTTCAAGGCGCTCGGGCAGGATGACAACATGGCGCTGATTCTGTCTGGAATGGTGAATATCTGTCAGCTGGTGAGTTGATGTCTCTAGCACATGTCCCTGAGGCATACTGATTTTAGAATCATAGGCCGCTGGTATTCCTACCTTCCTCTACCTCGACAAGATGGGTCGCCGCAAGCTTGCCATCTTTGGTGGTGCCGCCATGGCCGTTCCTCATCTCATCATGTCCGGCGTCGTCGGCAAGTTTGACGGTAAATGGGAAGCTAACCCAGGAATGGGCTGGTTTGGAGTTACCCTGATCTGTAAGTTCTCTCACGTCAAGTATCAGACTCCATGCTAACAACTTCAGACATCTACGTCCTCTGCTACGCTTGCTCATATGGACCTCTGGCTTGGACTCTCCCTGCCGAAGTATTCCCCAGTTCCCGCCGAGCAAAGGGTGTTGGAGCCGCTACCGCCATGGTCTGGCTCGCCAACTTTATCATTGGTGTGGTTGTTCCCGAGATGATTATTAAGATCGGTTGGGGTACTTATCTCTTCTTTGGAATCTTCTGCTCTCTTGCTTCCGTCTTTTCTTTCTTCCTTGTCCCCGAAACAGCCAACAAGTCTCTGGAGCAGATTTCTGAGCTCTTTGGAGATCATGCTGTTGCGGATGAAGAGGCTGTCTACGAACGCATTCGGCATCAAGTTTGGGCTAGTCATGTTCATGGTGCTGAGCATTCTGAGGTGAAGCAGAGTATTTGAGGACTTATCATATATATTTGGCTGCATTAGTCCAATAGTCAACGTTCTCTCGAAGCTTGAAAGCATGTAACCATGGCTCTTTGTGTCTTATTGTAATCCGATTCTGAATTGGCCATTCTGGCTAATCTGTATAACATCCTTAAGCATGATCTCTTCTAACTTTGAGCTTATAAAAGCTGTATATCAAAGCTGAGACTTGATAATTGTAGCAATTGAGTCACTGATTTGCCTCTACTTACGCTTAAGAGACCATAATTACGCAACAAACTCTTGCCAGAACTGTGATTCTTGCTTGCTGAGAGCTCCAGTGGATCAATCCACTAACTCAGCCCCGTTAGGTCATCGGACACGCTAAAATGCGGGGAAGCAGTGAACTAAAGTCATCGTCCGCCAATTTCACGTCCTTGCCCTCAACTCGGTCTACTCCCCGAGATTTCATTCTTATGCCAACTCCACGCTCCTCGCCCCGCAAACCCGGCGAAATCCTTCCTAATCCGTCTCATACCTCTTAAAAGTGTATCTCCAAATTCTGAGCGATCATGAGTTCGACGCCTCGGACTCGGACCAAGCCCTGTGATCAATGTCGAGGTTCGTCAAAGCTGGCAAGGATACCTCGATCAAGCTAACCACCACTGACAGAAAAGCATCTGAAATGTATGCCGAATGTGTTAAGGGTCGAACAAATCAGACTGACGGGTACAGGCGATAATGAGAATCCCTGCGCCAATTGTAAAAAGCTTTCAATCAGTTGCGCTCGAGCTAAGAAGTTCCGCATCAAAAAGCTCATCACGACTGAAAACACGTTCAAGTTTGATCCGAACCAAACATGGATAGATACATCAAATCACAGTCTGTTTCATCAAACATATTTGATTGTCTTTGTTCTAACTGAGATTGACAGAAAAATCAAACGCGATTTCCTTTGTCGACGAAACAAACTCTGCGTCTCGCCACTCCCATCCCACCGCCGCTGAATCTCCGTCTTCCGAAAATGGATCTCAATCCGAAAGTTTAGATTTTGCTGCCTCTGTTTTGCAGACGTTATCAAAAGGAAATCCTCAGATATCCGGTAAGCACGAGGCGTCTGTGACTGAAGAACTTCCAGACGAGCCCCCAGATGCTTTTGCGACATCCCGAAGCTATGAAGATGGAGGCTTCGGTGCATCTCAAGATCTTTCTCAACTGTCACTTACTTCATCACCAAGTGGACAATCGCATCTTGCTACCAATCACTATGGAGAGGCCTCGCTTCCTGTCTTTTCCGCCCAGTGGCAGCACTCTTCTCCTGGAAACGATACAGGGAAGCATCCAAGTGGGACTGATGAACAGTCACCCTTTGGGGAATACATCTCCCAGCTATATCAAGCAGAAACACTTCCTTCAATGATGGACCTGGAACTTCATAATCCCACTTCGCTGTTGAGTGCAAATTCGTCTCAGCCGCTGAGCTTGGAAGAAGCTTGCCTGCTTCGGTGTTTCGTTGAGAAACTCGCAAGAGCTGTAGGACCACTTCGAATCATCTCTCACAAGATAAGCTGACCATTGGGGTAGTTTGACACAACTGATAGAGACCATCATTACGTCTCAGTACTTCCTCTTCGAGCCGTACACAGTCCTCTTCTTCTTAACGCTATATGTACCGCCTCTGCACGATTCCTCACTCGCGTCTCATCCCTCAGAGACCCAGATTGTATCATCGAGTATGCAGGCGTCGAGCTCCCGGATCTGAATATGGAATCCGCTATTCACTACCACAACAAGTGCATCTCACATCTGATGGGGGTTTCAGCAGATCCGATCAACTCCTGCAGTGATGATGCTCTGGCTGCCATTACCATATTGAGGTACCATGAGCAAGTTGATAGTAGGAGGCATCTTTTCTTCGGTTGATCAAACCTGACAGTATTCCAGCACACTTCACCGGTACCGATAACGAGACGTTCTCGATCGCAGTTCGCGCCGTATTCCAAGCATCCCAGAACGACGCAGATGGGCTTCTGCACCTAATTCTCCAACCTCCCCGTGGCTCAGATGTCTATGCAACTTCTCTCTCTTCCCTCAGATTCTCAGCCTGCCTCATTGCACTTCGTCAAGAAATATGGTCCGTTCTCATGCACCGTCGTCCCTTTAGACTACCGATCCTGCCTGTCGAAAACTATGGCATCTTTGATGATACCTTGGCTGCTGATGACTACGACTGGACTAACCGGGTCCTCATCTGGTGTGCCCACGTGCTCAAACTCTGCTACCCAGACGACAACGATGAACAGCCAATCGATAATCGAACTCGGTCCCAACAATGGGAGGCTATCAAAGACTTCCAAAGAAACTGGGATGAGAAACGACCCCCTCATTTCGCACCACTATACTACCGAGAACGCAACCCATCAGAAGGCCGATACTTCCCAGAATACTGGATAACCAGCCCATGCCAAATGCTAGCCCTCCAACACATCGAACTAGCACGCATAGTCCTTGCAGCGCACGACACCAAGATCCAACTCGGCATTGGCGGCAGAGCCGCCCATAAAGCACTGGAAGAGCTTATGCGAGAAGCAACAAGACGTGTTTGCGGTTTGGCGATGTCGCAGAAGTGGTGTCAAGAGGGAATGGTGACTGCTGCTGT